CATGTGCTTCTGTGTATTGTTGGGTCCATGAGTGGAGCATGTGCTTCCGTTTATTTTTGTCTTTGAATTTTTCTCAGCAGTGCAGGGTAACTCACTTTTCATGTCTTTCTTATCTTTTATTAGATTTGTTGGTAAATATTTCATATCTTGGTAATGTCTGTTATCCAGTTTTTAAATTTTCAATTTCTACTTATTACAAGTTTCAAGAAATTGACATTTGGATATTGAAATAGTTTCCTACAACTTTGCTAAGCTTATTACTTACGGAATGTTTTTTGGAAATTTTATTGAATTTGCTTTGTAAATGTTCATATGATTTAGTCATTTAAAAAAGGTGTTTTTGTTGTTGTTCTGCTTTGTTTTATTATTTTTGTTCTATTGATATTGCTGATGCAAGAAAATAAACCAAACCTACAACTCTCATCTTAAAGAGAATAAGAGTTTATTTTGAGCCATTTTGAGTGACAGTGACTCAAGAACACAGATTTAGGTTACCCCGAATCCCAAGTACCAACATGGAAGCAGTTTTGTGATGTCTGATGGTTTTACAGAACAAGAAAGCCACAAATCAAGACAAGTTTAAAATATATTGGTGATTACATCAGACAGAAAGGCACAGCAAGATAGACGAAGCTTTTGTATATTCCCAAGATGTCATCTGAGTTTTTGGGTTAGTGGAAGCTAATCTGCCAAATTAATAGATTTTAAAAGGGTTTTATCTATTTCTCACAGGATCTTGGTTCTGTCATAGAGGTAGACAAAGGAGTGGCTATTCAGGGGCTGACGCTAGCCCAAGATAGGGTAATTAGCCCTTCAGACCTGCAGTGTTCCAACTTCTCCACATCACTGCCGTGCTAATCAGTCAGTTTGTCTCTGCAAACACAGCTTCCTTCCAGGAATTCTCATTCGCAATATCATATATAGCATTAGTTGGCCCTTGTATGTTAACCCTTGTGTTTCACTTGGTTGTGGTCTAGGATTCTTTTATATGTTGTTGAATTTGGATTGCCAGCATTTTGTTAAATATTTGCTCTGTCCACATGATTTAGAGATGCTGAACTGTTATGGTTTTGGTATCAGAGTAACACTGACCTCAGAATGAGTTCACAAATATTCCTCTCTCCTGACTTTTGGAAAAGTTTGTGAAGAACTGATATTAAATCTTCTTAAACGTCTTCAGAGTATTAAGAAGTAAAGCCATTTGTGCCTGGGCTTTTCTTTGTGAGTAATGTTTTGTTACTAATTTGTTTGTTACAGGTATTTTTAGATTGTCTGTTCTTCCTTGAGTCAGTTTTAGCAGTTCATTTATTTCGGGGAATTTGCTAATCTAATCTATCAGTATGTAATTATCCATTGTGTTGTTTTTTTTTTCATTGTGTTCTCTTATAACTTTGTATTTCTGTAATATCCATAATAGTATCTCCTCTTTCATCCTTCATCATTTGTTTCACTTGATTTTCTTAGTCATCTAACTTAGGTTTGTAAATTTTGTCCATCTTTTAAAAAAAACTTTGAATTTATTGCTTTTTCCGAAATGATTTTTGTTTGTTTTTTTCCCAATATTTTTTACTTTTTAAATTGCTTGTTTTCTTTTACATTGTTTCTTTTTCAAGTATCTTAAAAGTTAAGCCATCAAATTGAGAATTTCTTTTTAGCATTTCTTATTATATTTATAGATGCAAATATTATTCTAAAGCTAGATGTGGTAGTACTTGGTAGACTGAAACAAGAGAATTGTAAAACTAACCTGAAGTACGTACTGAAACCCTGTCTCCAGACCCACCTTGCACTAAAAAAGAATACACTGTTGCCCACTGCTTTTGCTACATTCCTATAGTTCAATAAGTTATATTTTTCATCCATTCTAGAGTATTCTCTCTCTCTTACTCTGTGTGTGTGTGTGTGTGTGTGTGTGTGTGTGTGTGTGTGTGTGTGT